TTTACCTCCTTCTCAGTTTAGAAACCTGGACACAACTATTCATGTTAGCTGTCAGTGTTGTCATTTGCACTTGTATCAATAACCCTGAGCTCTGACAACTTTCCTTATTTTTAGACCTAAATCCTATCTTATAGTATAAATATCTCACTCTAGGGCAGGGCACCATAGAGCAATTATTGCACTTCCCATGTAGGGTGAATTTCTTGGCCTTGACTCTTCAAGGCAGCACCTGAGATGTGTTCTAATCACTCAGAGGCACGGGGCAGAAGTTTATTATATTATCAAATACTGTAGGAAAAAGAGGACACATGTTCCTTTGGCAGACGGCCAGATCCTTCCCTCTAGAGAGACAACTGAAGCTGGGGTGGGTTATGAGTGCAATGAGAGGGTAAGTACAGGGTGCTGTAAGAGCCCATAACGGGGGGGGGGGGGCGGGGGGGGGGGGGGGGGGGGGCGGAGCGGGGCCATCTGTCCCAGTGGAGGAGATTGTACCGTCTTCCTGAATTTGTATGGTGCTTTGCAATTTACAAATATCATTCATTTGCATTGTTGCACTGATCCCCATGACAGCATTTGAGATTTTTATCTAGAAGTGAGACTATTGGATGCTGTCCTCTGTAATGAATTTTCAGATCTCCCGTTGAACAGATAAGGAAACTGAGGATCAAAGAGAGAGGCAACTTGAGAAGAGCTGATATTCAGATTCAGGTCTTTCTGCCTCCCTCTCCCCGTTACTCACGCTCTACACTCCAGCAAATTAGGTCAGTCAAAATTGAGGTTCTTAGTTTCACTCATTGAATCAACATGTGTTTGATTATTATCGATAGAATGCAAGTGACATAAAGCATTGTGTTAGGCTCAGAAGTACAGCAATCACTGGTTTACTTACCCTCTATGCTCAAAGGAGAATTTTTAGTGTAAACCTCCATAATTATGGATGATTATGGATTCCAGGTGGGTATCTGAAAAGATCTTTCACAGAAGAATTGGTAGAAGGGTTCAAGAAAACGCCCAAGCCATAGTTTCCAGTCTGCTTTATCAAGAGAGCTCTAATGCTCTTTGCCCTTCACCCTCCATCCTGCCTTCATGCCTAGCTACCCACACACAGCCTCCCGTGGCCTGTCCCATGCATGCCCCACACATGTTACACACAATGTCATACACTAGTGCACACACTTGCAGCCTTGTACACTCCGTGGCTGGCACTGTCCCTCCTAATCTCCCTTAGTTCCTTCCCATCACATGCTGGTCTCTGAAGCTCCCGTTCCCTCTTCCTTGGTCTGATCTGTTAAGACTGCACCATGAGGTGGTGCCCACGGCCCGTGAGCCTCGGAACACCCCAGAACAGCTGATGCCCCCAGGCTAATGTCCCGGTGCCTCCCACAACTCCCCAGCCTCTTCTCCCTGCATACTCAGCAATCACTCCAACCTCCGTGTCACACTTTCCCGGAGCTCCCTCTGACAAGTCTATCAAGTTGAGAGATGACACTGTCAACGGGCATATTTTAAAAAAAAGGAAAAAGAGGGGAGAGGAGGGAAAAAAGCCCGGAGCCTCCCTTGGTGCTGCAAGGAGATGTTCGGGCACTCCCAAGGTCATCCGCGTGGGCTAAGAGGGGCATCCTCATTCTGCACCATCCCTTGGTTCTTAAGTGAGGCTCCCCCAGTGGGCGCCTGGTGCAGCGCCCTCCAGTTGCCTGACGTGGGGTGGAGGGGGCGGCACTGTGCTTCAGTAAGAGATTGCTTGGTAAGACAATGGCTGAGCTGATAATGCCAGCAAAGTCACGACACCAGGGACCTCTTACAATTTTAAGATCCAATCAACTTTAAAATATTACCGTCTAAGGCGGATTTGTGCAGGGGCTATGGCAAACAATTGATCCTGGTATATTTACTGAGAGGATGGGCATCCTGCTGCAATATTAATCTGGGATGGGGTTGGTGGGGAAGGGGAGGGGCTGAGAAGAACTAGACTGCCCTGGCTCTTCCTAAAAATCCTCTGACAAAGTAAGTTTGCTATTTTGTGCATATGTATTTATTCTATTCTTTGTAAAAATTCCAAGAGTCAGTAACATAGGAGGAAGTTATAAAGAGAGCTGTCTCCTTTCTCAGGTGCCTCCCCAACTCTACCCCGACCCACGTATACTGAACATGCTCCGGTAGTTACCTGGGACCTCCTTTCCCTAGGACCTTGCCCCTCCCATTCTACATTTCCCTCTTATCAAAGCCTTTCCAGTCACCTCCTGAGGTTCTGCAACCTTAGCCCAGTTTGAGGAATGTGGCCTGGCCTCAGGACATTCAGAACGAGGGCGAGGCTCCCCGTATTAATGAAGGCCTTGGAGGCGGGAGGTGTGATAGAGGAGGACCGAAGCCGGTACACTGTGGAGCAATTTATCCAGCACACATGTCTGACAGAACATCAGCCCCCTGCCTCCCCCACCCATGGAAGCATCAATAACATCGATAGAGCTGCTGTCCCCAGCATGGGCTTGCAACGTGGCCATGAGAAGAAGGACAAAGAAACAACCTCTTTCCTGGCGGAGCAGAGCTTATGGTTTGTAGTTAATGAGAGGGTGGAGGGGAAGGCCAGCCCCACGAAAGGATGAGAAATTCCAGTCACTGACAGGCTGGATCATGGTCAGACGGGCAAAGCGGAGCCTGAGGCTTTTGGTGAGCCCGGCTGCCACAGACACTAGAGGGAGGGCGCACACCTGGAGCCCAATGCAGCAGCCAGAACACCAACTCTTTTGGGGGAAAGGCCCCCAGGAGAAAATCCTGTTCATCTTCCTAGCAAGCAGGACCACCAGTATCTCTCCAGTTAGAAACACTGGTTTCTTTTAAAAGATCTATACGAGGATACTTGGATTCACAATTTTATATTTGTTTTGGAGACATTGGTCCACTGGTTCCTTAAACCTACTGTGTGCTGCTCTCACATCTCTCCATGATTCCCTTTGCCTGGAATGCCCAGCTTTGCAAAGAATGCCTCTGCAGCCTTTTAGGTTCAGGTCCGATGTCAACCCTTTAGCCAGATGTTTCCTGACCCTTCTCAGACAGCTCCTCATTCTCCTCCTTGCATTTCCATAACATGTTGTTTGGATTTTTGCTACATGGATCATTGTATTGAATTATAACTTTTCTCGCCTCTCTCTTCCTTGGATTGTCAGCTACTCCTCGAGGGCAGGGGCCTTCTATCCCTACACCCCCAGGTCCTTGTATGGTGCCTAGCATGTAATTGATGTTCAAAACATATTGGACATACAGAACAAGCCCACTCATCTTCCCTCAGTCATTGCCAGGAAGAGAAGTTTTCCTCTAAGCTAAATCAATTAATCCATCAAGCAGCTTTGGGTCATCAAATAAAACATTAACTGGAACAGTATGCAATTACTAATACTCAACCATTTTAGACCTACAAAAATGGTAATTTCGTATGGTTCAACCAAATCTATGATGTAGACACCACCTTCAAAGGGGGAAGAAACGAAAGGAAACTAGCATTTGTTGTGCATCAACCGTGTGCCAGGTACTTTACGAGCATCATTTCGTTTAGTCTAATCCTCATTCAATTCTGGTTCAGGAGAAAAAATAACCATAAAAGAAATGAAATATTTAAACTCTGAGATGGGTGGTACTGTGGCACAGTGGGATGGGAAAAGAATTCTTTTACTGGTGAAGGCTTCATAATGAAGGTGAGCCTCATCCGGTCTTGAAGGGTAGGCTTCTGAGGGCAGCCTCGGTAGCGTTAGGTATCTTTCTCCTCTCTCCCGTGGCACACTCACTATACTTACCTCCATTACAGCACTCCTCCCACAGTGTCCTTGCTATTCATGTCCTCGTCTGTTTCCATCCTACACTCTAGGTGGGTCCCTCAGGGGCAGGAGTCACCTCTCCTTCATCTTTGCATCCCTCTGCCCAGAGGAATGCCCGACACCCTGCTCACTCAAAGGTTTGCTGGGAACGTATACAAAGAAAACCATGCAGTGAATTCCAACAGTGAACTCAAGGATTTCTCAGAGGCAGACATGCACAGGCTCTCCAGCATCCCCACCAGGGGACTTGTGAGCTTACAATGACTGACTCAGGAGTCTGGGGCCCAACAGGGCTGAACCAAGCAGTAAGGAGGACAAGACCCAGGAGGGGATCACAATTCCAAATAAGGGTCAATAGACACATCCATTTTCCATTTCCCGTTTCCCTGGCTGGTCAGCACAATTCTTACATAAACTCTCAATTCCACACCATCCACTTGCCACTGTAGGGGCCAGAGGTGCAGTCAGGAAGACACATGATATATTTGTAACGACAGCTACCATTACTGAGCCCCCAGGATGGGTATTATCATCCCTATTCTATCAATGGGGAAGTCATCAAACTTGCCTTGCCCAGGTTTATAAGCTAGATTTCCAGGTGGCTCTGGTTTTAAAATTCATATTCTTAATCACTAAGCTCTATTAATAAGTACAAAATCCAGATTTAGGCCGGCCCCAATTTCCCAGAGTTTCCCCAACTTTCTGGAATTCATCATGCTTGTGCAGGGTCTCTGGCAACAAGGGTAGCACTCAGAAGTACTCGCAGGAGTCTGCTCCCGTGGCCCCAAGCTTTGGGACAAGTCAGACAGACATGTAGCAGTCTTGGGCCCTCACCAAGCCCAGCCTTGTGCTGGGCTTCGCAGCCTTTCATTCATCATTCTCCATGAGGAATTGACTCATTGGGGTTGATTTATGGAGCTAGGCAGGAGCCCCTGCCAGCAGACTCCGTGCTAAGCTCTCTTTCTTGATTGCTTGCCCCTCCCTGTCCCGGAAGAGCCCCCACTGGCATTGAAGCTCATCTGAATTTTAGGAGGGCTCGTTGTAGATTTAAGCACATGCCCTCTTGACCCCCAGGATTATGGTTTTTTTCTTCTTCATCTTTAAGGAGGCGTATCTCCAAGGGAAGGCAAAGTTTCACAGGGAGGAGATGGAGGTGGCAGCCAGAACAAGCCTTGCATATGATATGCTAAGAGCTGTATTCCACCATTTGAATGACAGTGAAGACACATCTTGTCAAATTACTGCTTCAGTCAAACAGGCTAACCCTCACCAAGGTTGACAACAGAATGATTTCACTTCAAAGAAAAGTGAGAGAAGGGGGGACTAAACCCTAGGCTATTAACAGGGTTCTCATGTCACTGAGTGAATGCGGGTTCACGTGTTCTTGTGTACTCTTCCATACTCTTTGCTGTTTGCAGCTGTGGGAGAGAAAGGTCCAAGTTGTACATATGTCCAAGCTCCTCTTCTAGCTGAAATGACACCCCTCTGGGGAAGCTGCCTGGAGGAAGTGAGGCCACCCAGGAACGATGTGATGCCAGTGAATTGTCGGAAGTCGTGTTCCACTACAGCTTTCTCTGACTTCTCAGTCTGTGCTGCCCCTCACCTCATCACAGGTCGGGCACAGTGTTCTCTGTTCCCCAGGGACTGGTAGCTGCAATTCAGGCAGAGTCGCAGGTGTCACACCCTTTCAAGATGTCAGTGCTGCTATGGCAATAGAGAAACCAAAATCAGAGGCTGAGTCAAGGTCAGACCCTAGGGAGAGTAAGTGGGTCTCCAAAGCTAGTGCAAATGAAAGAATGAATGAGGTGGGGTAAAAGTAGAACTGAGAGCAGGAGTGAAACAGCAGATGAGTCACCACTAAGGGTGAGCTGGAGAAACAGCGGTGGGAGGAGAATCCACATGGGGTGCTAGCAGCCTGGGATGAAGAAGTAAGGATCAGGGAACTCAAGACACTTGATCAGCAGCTCCATATGCAGGAACAGTATTGGGAGATGATGGCCTTTTTAAAGTCTCATGGGCCCCAACTCCATGTGTGTGCCTTCACTAGATTTAAAGAGGGGTACCCATGTACCACCAGGGAATATGTCATTGAGCCCTGGGTGAAGCAGTTCTTGCCCATAATGAAGTTTTTATCATGGTGATCATTCTTGACTCCATCAGACCCACCCCTCTGGTTTTTCCATTTGGTCTCCTATAAACTGTTATTTTTAGGTGCTCTGGATTCTGGATTCTGACCCCCCATCTATTCCTGACGTTAGGTTTTGACTTGGCAGCCTTGATTTCTGATTTCTTGCCTATCTCCATCTTTTAATAACTCTCTGCTCCTAGCTACAAATCAGCTCTTCTAGATCCACTATATTTCTGGTGATTCTTGCCTTACTGCTCTGGGCCCAAGAGGATCATTATAATTTACCAGGGAAGTGGGAGCTGCATGACACTAGTCATCCCTTGAAAATATACCATCTTTATAAATCCAGGTTCAACACTAAGTACCCATTATCTTCCAATCGTAGACATTCGGGTTTGGAAGAGACTTCAAAGATATCTAATTTGATGTCTCCCCCATTTGTTGTGCAAATTTCCTTACTATACTCATTATTTCAAAATAATAAGAGCCACCATTATAGGACTCTGCTAAACCGCTTTACATATATTATCTCATTTAATCCTGACGCCAATTTGGTGAGGGAAATCTTGTCATCCTCATTATGTAGTTTAGGAAAGAAAGCCTGTGCCCTTAACCACTATCCCACATTGAGGCCTCTTATGTCCTGAGGCTTTTCCTTGGATGTCTCCAGTAGAGAGGAGCTCATGACCTCTCGGGACATCCCACTCTGACCTTGAGAAAGCACCTCCTTGTGTTGAGCTGGAAACCCTCTCCCTATAATTTTTACCATTGTCCTGGTTTTACTCCTTAGTAAGACAGAACACCGCATGACAGCTGACATGTTTTTCTTGAAATTTGCAAAACACCTCCAGGTTCAGCTTTTTCTCCTATGACTGTTTCTGATGATACCTGGCTGCTCCAATTTGCCTTCAGTTGTGGTACCCTGGGTAGGGCCCTAATAATTGTATTATAAATACAAATGATATATTTTACTGTGTTTTCTGGGTTGCTACCATTTCTTTCTCTCTTGTGCTGAATTTTACAGGCTAAACAAAAGACATATAAGACAAAGTCCTTGCCCTCAAGCTAAAATTTCATTGTTTTCTTGGATAAGAAACAATAAGGAAGTATATTTAGTCAACTGTTCTTTGTGCGGCTCTGACTACAGAAACTCCAGGAAGAGCGAGAGGAGTTGGCAGGAGTCACCAGGGAAGGCTTCCTAGATGTGTAGCTTACCCTGGGCTTCGCTGGTGGGTAGCTGCAGGAAGAGCAGAATGGAGGGGATGCCAGGTGGTAAACTACAGAGACAAATCACAGGTTGCAAGTGGAAGGTAAGGAAGAGAATGTCTCAGCATAGAGATTTGGGATATGAGGATGGGGAAGAACAGAAGGCTAGATGGGGATGAGGATAGGGGTGGGGAAATTCTGAATATTAAGCTAAAGGATTTAAATGTATGTGAACATGAAATCAGTGAGAAAGAGGTTATTTTAAGGGCACTTCATTCAGTCCTGCCTTTCGTATATCTTGCTTTCACAGGCCCAATATTTCTCCGCCGGGCACCTATGCTAATTTCGATCACCATTCCAATTTACCCCCAGCTGGCTTCTCTGTCTCTGTCAATTTCAATCAGAGCCTGTTCCTTTTTCTTTATCTTTTTTGGAATCCCCCTTAACCTGAAAAGTGCTGTCCTCCTACAGTGAGAGTCTTCATTTCCTACCTGGATTACTGCTCTGAGATACCTGCCTGCCTCCTGCCTCTACTCCTCCAGTGCTCCCTCCACCCACTGCCAGCTACAGTGCACATCTAATTTATCACTTCCTGCTTAGTCTCTCCCACTGCTCTCCCTCACCTTCAGAACAAAGTCCACACTTCCTGCCCACTTTTCCAGCTTCATTTCCAGCTACTTCCCCTATGCATCCCATGTTCAGGAGTACCAGAAACCTCGTAATCCTTGATCATACCATAATCTCTCTCACTCTCTTGGCCTTTGCATTTGTTGTTCATTCTTCAGGGAAGACCCTTCTCTCCTTACTCACCTTGCAATAATATCTTCAAGATTCAGCTTAGTGGGGCCTCTGGAGACACTTCCTTGGCCCACTTGAGCTGAATTAGGTGACCCTCTGCTTCCAGAGCATCTTGTGGCATTTCATGAGCACTCAGGGCACTGGATGTGAATGTGCACCCACCATGCTGTGCAAGAAGCAGTAGAAACCAACTAGGCTCCCTCATCTATATTGGAAAGCTTTCAGAGACTCACAGAATCCAACCTGAAGAACCAGGCGTGAAAAATAAGCAAGAGTCCAGTGAAACCCAGAAGTTTGGCTGCAGGAACCACAGAAAAGGTCACGCTATAGATGCAATCTGTTCTCTGCGCGGCCATGACCGTGCAGATGGACTTGACCTCCAAATGTTCCCGCAGGACACAGAGATGGTGAGGAATTCCCATTCAAAGGGCAATTTTCAATTAGGGATCCCTGTCTTCTATTCTTCTCCAGTCTCCTACTTTCTTAATTTACACCGATGTAATTAAAGCCTGCCTCGAGGCGGGGGGATGGATGAACTGGCTCTCCCGAATCCTTAAGAGTAACCCAGTCTCAGCTGTGAACTCTGAAAACTCAGGAAGCCAATCAGACCGCTTTGGAACAGTCCTGCTTCACAGAGTAGCTAAGAGAAAGCTCAACAGGAAGCTGTCAGAGTAAACAAGAAGATGATGCCTAATAAACAATTTCCAGCATTTTGTAGCTGATAATAATTGCTCACTTAAGTCTCCTGAAGCTTTAATTTGGTGGGTCTGTAATCAATGGCAGTTTTCTCCCTGAGGTAGGGCAAGGCTGAGTGACAGAGAAAATAGCAAGTTCCTGTGTATTGCCAATCCCAGGAGCCAAAGGAAGGGGGAGAAAGCCTTCCTGGTTGCAAAAAGATGGAAATGGGAAGTGGAGGAAGACCGGGTCTCGACTGTGCAGGGGAGGACAAGAAAAGGTTCCAGGAGTTTTAGAGATGGGATTCATTGAACAGTGTGATGGCTCCCTCCCTTCTGTATTCAGCTTCCCAGTCCCTGAACAGGTTTCCCAGTCAGCTGTCCAAGGCTCCACTCAGAGCAGATCCCTTTCAGGGTTATAAGGTTTGAACTTTCCAAAAGAATCCTAGCACAACGGAGTCCTGCCCGTAAACTTCATTGGGTCCTTCCATGCACACTTCATAGTCCCCTGTAACTTACTAGCCCTGGTCTCTTAGATTCAACTGTGCCTCTTTCATTCAAATGACACCCCACTTTCTAACCTGAGATTCGCTCCTTACCCATCTCTCCCCATTTCTTGAGGCCCTATTGCCCATCTTAGCTTTGGCACTCCCATGACAGCACTGCTATCCTGAAGGGACTCTACCCCACCAGGACATAAGTTCACATCCACCATCAATTGGCATCCAGTGCAGCCCCTGAGGGAAACCACTCTTTTCTAGTTAAGATGGCACCCTGGCGTGTAAGTTGTTCCATCTCTAGCCATCATGTACCAGGCATGTCTTGAACTCAGCTTAGGGTATTAAAGTGACACCCCAGTGACAGCCCCAGAACCCCCTCCATTAACTTAGTACCAGACCCAGATTGGGGTTCAATAATGGGTTTTCAGGAGGGGTCATTGCCATATCTTCTCCCCAGGGACAGCTTACATGGTGTGACTTGGATGGTACCAGGCAGACCCACATCCTCCCAAATAGCTCTCTCATACTTCTATTCAGTGCCTGGAACTTCTCCATCAGCCACAGGGAGTCGTGGTGTTGTGGAAGAAAGGACATAGGATTTGAATTGAAAAGATCCACCCATCTTTGATTCCTGGCTCTGTTCTTTGGTCTTTGTGATGTTGGGCAGGTCATTGAGCTTCTGGGCTTCGGTTTACTATAGGAAGTAAATAAAAATAATTTGGAAGGTTTTTGAAAATCCTAAAGCTCTGTGCACCTGTTAATTATCAGTGCTCTTCATTTATTCAGTCCTTGAAGAATTTTTGCCTTCCAGAACCAAGTTTTAATTTCAAATATCCATGGGAGGGGTAAAATTTTATGTATATTAGCTAACATCTTGTAGCTTAGAGATTGAAAATAAGTATCAGAGAATGACCTAGAGTGACATTCTTAGAAAAATTGAGAAGCTGCTGAGATGAGGAAGTGGTCAGCTCTTTCCTCCGAGATTCCATAAATCTCTTATGACCTCCTTCTGTGTCCAATATCCAACAATAGTAAACTGAAGATGCAGGGAATCACCCACTTATATGCAACTTCTGTTTATTTACTTATCTAACAAGTATTCCATAAGAGCCTAGTTTGTGCCAGGCTTTGAGCTACTTGCTGGGAATGCAACAATGAAGAAGTGTGCCTGGTCCCTGCCCTCAGAAAGCAAAGAGTCTGTAGACAGAAACAGGTAACAAGCCAATTACTACATAGCGTGTAAGTGCTTACGTGAGCAAAGTATAGTGTGACATGGGAACACATAGGGGTGTGCATAACCCAGACAGGTGAGGTCAGAGAAGATTTTCTGGAGGAAGGAGCAGAGCAGGCAGAGAGTGGGGTGGGAAAGGGGATGAGAGTTTTCTAGATGGAGTGAACAGTATGGTGAAGTGATTGAAATATGATTTGTATGAGAAGCTGAAAACAGTTCAGTGTGGATGAAGAACAGAGTTCAGGGGAGAGAAAGTTGGAGAGGTAAATGGAATCTGTGTTAACAGGGGTCTGTGTGCTATAGTAAGAAATTTGCCCGTTAGGCAGGAAGCAATAGGTCACAGAGAGGTTTTGTGTAGGAGACTGGCATTCACTATTGCGTGACTCATAGTGTATTAAAATAATTCTTAGTTTGAGTGATTTCCCTGCCCACGTCAACTTGGCTGTGAGTTCCATGAGAACTGGATAATGTCGTATAAATCCCAAGTGCTTGGCATAGAGTAGTCACTATCTTAATGTTAATAGAAATGAATGAAACTTATTGCCTCTTCTTTCCCTTCTGTAACTGCTACTAGAAATAAACCGGCATGAAATTAGAAAGATGGAATTAGAGTTCAGGGTAAACTGGGAGGTGGCTTACCTTGTTGCTTTTCACCAGTTCCACACATTCTTCTATTTTCTCTCCTTCTGGGCCTATAGAAGAAATGAACAGTCTAACACTTCTCAAGCTGATACTTAAATAAGTGTTAGTAAGGTAGCTCCCGCCAGGCCATGAGGTCCTAAGTTAGTTCACAGGGAGCATCACTCCGTCCTCCCATATTTATGGCACACAGAGCTAGTCAGCCTCAGCATCCTTTCCCTCCCAGCATGCACTCATTCTCGACACTTCCCTTCTCAGCAAAGCTTCCTTGGCAGCTATCATCTATTAACCAGAGTTTGCTCTTGAGATGAAATCTATTTGCCATTCAGAGCTAACTGAATTCTGTGAACCTTTCAAGTGAGCTGTAAGATAGAATACGTTTTATTCCAGCAACTATATTAGACAGGATCCATGAACTTTGGTGTGGATGATGCTCATATTATAATATATGATTACGGATTTTCAGACTAAAACAATCGAGCTTCATGTGAAGTTCTGAGGCCCACAGCCTTGAGTAGTTAGCGTCAGAACAAGACAGCTCACTTAAAGTAACTGCTTCCGGGCCGGGTCCTCGATCTCTTCAATGTCTGAAAAAGTCAATTTTGCGTGTAACTCTCTGAGCAGAAACCATAGTAAAACTGAGGAATAATCAAAACTAACGTTATATTGGCTGTAACATCTCACTAGTGCCTACATCATTCAATTTCTTTAAGTTTTGCTTCTGTGGATACTACTCTTCTTTAACTCTCAAAGAGAATACTGGTCTTATACACATTCCTATCTTAACAAAAAAAACCCTATTTCAATAGAAAAATGTCAAGCAATACTTGAATCCTGCATATTTATCTCTGAGACTTTTACTTTTCTTCTCCCCAAAGTCCCCCAGTACATAGTTGTGTACTCTAGTTGTGGGTCCCTCTAGTTGTGCTATGTGGGACACCGCCCCAGCGTGGCCTGATGAGCCGTGCTAGGTCCATGCCCAGGATCCAAACTGGCGAAACCCCGGGCCACCAAAGCAGAGCGCTTGGACTTAACCACTCTGCCCCGGGGCCGGCCCTATCTCTGAGACCTTAGTGATAAATGGCAACAAGTAAACCCCAAAGTTGCCACTATCATTAGGTGACAATGAGCTGAACTGCAGCCATTATCCCCAAGAACATCTGACGAACTTTGCATGACCTTCCCTCATGACCTTCATCTCTTTCTCTCTCTAAGTCTCTTACTCTTTCTGCCCTTCACTACTTTCCATCCTTTTCTCCCTACGTCTCTTACTTGGCTCTCTATCTGTCCCTGCCTCTGTGTATACGCTTCTTTGTGTTGCTCTATCCCTTTCTAACATTTTGCTCCATCCCTTGATCTTCCTGCCTCTACTTTATCCATCTCTCTCTATCTGTGCCTTCCCAGGCCTGTGTTCCCCACCTCCTGGTTGCCCCTCCCTCAAAGGGAGAAAGCCATTAAAGCTGCTCCACATGCCTTCTTCACACTGTCGCATTGCTAACGTTGACTCCTTGCCGCTCTCACTAGAAATAGCTTTTGCCTTTTGTTGCCAAATCAGAATCTTCTCAGCAGTAAAAATGTGGCTTATGAAAGCAAGTGCCTTGTAATTAAATAAATGGGTAATTTCAGTGTTTTTATTTTTATTTTTCTACCCAGGGATTTCTTAGTCACAGGAAGGAACAGATAACAGCACTTTAATTTCTATTGATAGAGAAGAGAAAATAAGTTAGTCTATATTTAGGTTTTATTTGGGTATTTGTGATAATTAATAAGAAGGGAAGGAAACATCTGTCCTAGAAATGGAGAAGATGAGAGGGAACAGGGCAAAAAAAATTGGCTGCATCAGTTAAGACTGCTGGGAGAAGATAAGGTTGGCAAAAATCCTAGCTGAGTTATAGTTTGGAGAAGAGTTAAGGAAAATAGGAGTTTCATCAAATATATCAGAGGATAGAGTGGTCCTGAGGAGGCAGGCCGTGGATAAATGAGACGGTGATGAAGTGTGACCATTATAAACTAATGGACACCTTGAGGGGAGACAGAGCCAAGGAGAAAATGTTGAGATTCCAAATCAGGCTGGAGCATCAGTCCAGCGATGGGACTCCCTGGGTGGGAAGGAAATTAGCCAGTGTGTGCTGTGCACTGCTTACAATCACTCTCCCAGGCCTCTGAGGCAGGAGGGGGATCGGAGAGGCTGCACTGAAGTAAACAGCGACAAGAAGACGTGAGGCAAGCCCGAGAGTCACAGAGCTCGAGCAAAGGAATCAGCAACCAGAGGGAGCGTCTATCAACACTGAGGAGACAGAGGATCTTCAGTGATAAAACCAAAGAGTTTATCTCACGGCAGACAACATTGATAGCTCCTCTTTTCTTCCTTTCTCCCTTCCTCTCTCCTATCTTCCTCTCTGTCCCCCTCTTTCCTTTTCTTCCTCTCCTCCCTCCCTTCATTCCTTCCTCCTCCCTCTCTCTCTCTCCCTCTCTCTCTGTCTCTCACTCTCTGTCTCTCTCACGTTTCTAAAGAAAAACAAGCGTCCCTTGGTATATAGCATCTTTACCAAAAAAAAAATCATAAGCTCCTTAGATGAGCAGACATTTGTCTCAGGGATTAAGATGTTAGCCAACCTAAAAATAGTTAAACCTCAGATGTGCATGATACAATTTTTCTTACTCAAAATACTTTCACAATATCCCAACATTGCTATGAGATGCTTGGGTAGATATTATTTTATCTCTTGTAAAGCTACACTACATTAAAACATAAGACAGGTAATTAACTTTAGACTTTTGGCATTCTTTGACTATTCAAACTGTTTGTTAAGCTAATTTTCCTAGGTTCCCCTGTGAAGTGCTTTTTGTGTCACATTTTCTTCTATTGTTTTCAGCAGTGAAGTTTTTATCTAGCAAAATATCTAAAACCTTCATACTTGGCAAGAAGCGAAGAGTTCACTTTATTCAATATTTATCTTTTGTACTCTTTTATTATATTTACTTTAGAGAGGTAGTGTGATGTCGTCGGATCAGACATTGGAATCAGAATTCCCAAGTTCAAGTTTGAGATCCACTAATGTTACTGCTATGTAATCCTGGACAAGTCATGTAATCTCTCTGGGTTTCAGTTTCCAACACTGTGCAAAGAAGATTAAGATACCTATCTTACAGGGTTTCTGTGAGGATTAAATTAGCCTGATACAAAATTCCACTTCCAGTACATAGTAAATGCTAAATAAATAGTAAGAATCATTGTTGCCGCTGTTGTTGTTACAGTATTCAATACAGCTTTATAACCTAAGTTTCCTAACTATCAAGCTTATGATTGTTAATTTTGTGTGGAATTATGAGGAAATATTTTGTATCTCTCAAAACCTCCTTTACCTGCAAGCAAGAGAAACCCAACTAAATAGCTTTTAGTCATTCATTCAACAATCACTTCTTGAGCACTTCTCTTTGCCAGGAACTGTTTTAGGTGCTGAGGTTATAGTGATGTGATGTCTCAGGTTTTACAGTGCTTACATTCTAGTACAGAGAGACAAAGTATGAAGAACAAATAAGTAGAGAATAACAGATTATGACAAAATAAATAACATCATATATAGAATATTACTGAGGAATCAAAGATCTCTTAGAGCTGAGGGACAGAGAAAGCTTCTGTGAGGCATTTGAATGATGAAAACGAAGCAGTCATGCAAACATCGTGAGTAGAGATGAGCAGATGCAAAGGCCCTGAGGCAGAGAACAAATTTGACAGTTTCACAGACAGAAGACTTAATGAAGAAGATGAGTTGGAGAGACGGACGGGGCGCAAATCATACAGTCTTGTGAACCATGAGAAGAAGTTTGGGTTTTATTAATTATTGTGGAAGGAGCTGAAGGAAATCAAGCACGGGAGTGACATTATGTCATTCCAGTTCTAAACAGAGTGCTCTATGTGCTGTGTGGAGACTGAGAATGTATTCTAAGTGGCCAAGAGTAAAAGCAATGAAACCAGTCAGGAGGCTGTTGTGATAGACCCAGCTGGGAAAAGAGGACATGGAAAGAAGCAGACAGAGAAGAAGTTTATTTTAGGAGTAGAACCAGCAGAATTCGGTGATGGATTGGATGCCAGAGGTGCAAAATAGGGAGGAGTCAACAATGATGCTTAGATTTCTGACCTGAACAGCTGAAAAATGCAATTGGTGGTACCATTAACAAGATGGGGAAGAGTGGGTGAGGGGTGAGAGGGGGAGGGTGTTGTGTTGGATGCATCCAGTCAAAATGACTACGAGGCACCCGAAAGGCATTGTTGGATAGGCAGCCAGATATATAGATATATAGAAGTGCAGATATCAGAGCTAGAGTTATCAATGACATGTCAGCATAAATGGTACTTAAAGTCACGAGTGATGAGATCATCAAGGGAGTGAGCGCAGATGAAGATGAGAAAATGGCTCGGGGCTGAACCTTGAAGATGCCACAATTTAGAAGTCAATTAAAAGAGGAAGATCCAGAAACAAAAGGAAATTCATTAGCTTGATAATGATGCCAGTTCTGGCAAGAGTGGGACTGATCTGAGGGACAACAGGGATGCAGTATCATCAGGGCTTTGTCTTTCTTTGCAATTCTGGGATCTTTCTCTCTCCCTCCCTCAATCTTTCAATTCAGTCCATTTCTATCTGTGGTCTTCATCACAGAATTTTTCTGTTTGAAAGAAACCTAGCCACAGGCAGCTCTGAATTTCATGTTTGCAATGCTACAGAAAAGGAAAAATCTTCCTCCCAACTCCAGTTTGAGATATCCTAAGGAAGATCCCTGATTGGCGTGGCATGGGTCACAAGCCCACCCCTTGAACCAATCACAGGCCAGGAGAGCAGAGCAGCATTATTGGCTGGTCCAGCCTGGTTACATGCTCCCTGGAGTCTACTATGGACTTTTTTCCTGGAAGAGTGTAGCACATTTGTGGTTACTGATGGAATCATTGAGCTAGGAAGCTTTTTCAATTTGGATCTGCTTCTTAACTTAACTTGATGTATCTGTCTATATATCCAAATATGGTATGACATGATGGCCTGCGTTTTAGTTCTTC